GTGCCTCCAGACTATTCGCTTGAATCGCCAACGAGAAGGATAAATACTTTAAGCTGATTAAGATGTACTTTGATTTATGATCATCTGTTTTTCAAGTGGGTTCAGGAGGCAGTCTTTTATTCTTACTAAGCTATAGAGAACCCGTGAGCAATGTCATTAGACAAGCATGCTGGTCTTTTGTTCTACAGAACACAATGTCTGCCTTCGACCTTACGCTGTCTCTGATCAAGAAGTACCAGCAGTGGGGGGAACATAGAAATAGCGGTCTTTTTTAATGACAGGGAAACAAAGCTGATACTTGTAAAAAGAAGAAGAGTAAGCTTTTTCTTTTTGAGACTTGACTAACCAAGGCCTGGCTGTATCATCTGATTGACCGGCCTTTCAGACAACAGAGCTGTCACTCTCCTTTGTTGCCATTAAGTGGCAATTGAACACCATGTCACATACCACCCCTTGTTATCATCTTAACGTGTAGAAAGAACTCCGGGACTTTTTGAGAACAGTCAATTCTTGATTATCCGTATCAACAGAGTGTCTCTGTTCAGGCAGTGCGAACAGACCAGCCCAAATTGGCAGGAACATTGAAAGCATATCTGTTTAACCTTGAGCTACTTTTTTGTTTAACATTTGAAATGTGTGTGGCTGTTAGTTCAGAAGTTGGCATCACTTTAAATAAGATAACGAAGCTACAAAGTTGAGCTCTGACTCGGGAGTCGCTCAGAAACCGTCTTTCTTATTCTAACATTCTGTTCCAAACTGCTCTGGGATTTCAGGGTCAGGCGAAGTCCTTTCTCTCCAAGAGAAAAATAAAGTATCCACTTTCCCTGCCTTCTCACCGCTAAGCAGAGTTTTTCCTGGACAGATGAGAAAAAGAGGGCTGAAGATTTTTGGTTAATTATTTAATCAATTAAACACATTGAATGCTAATTCCTGTATGACACCACTGTGCTAGGTGCTGGTGGTACTGAGACAATGACACCATTTCTACCCTTGAAGATACCGTGGTCCCCCTTCTCCATGGGTGATATGTCTCAAGACCCCTGTGGATGCCTGAAACCTTGGATAGTACTAAAGGCTATGTATTATGTTTTTCCTTTACATACATCCTTATGATAAAGTTTAATTTATAAGTTAGGCACAGCAAGAGGTGAACAATAACTATAATAAAATAACAACAATTATAACAACACGAGAGGCCTGGTGCACAGGTGGGGTCTGGCTGGCCTGCCCCAATGGGGGTCAATGGGGGCCAGGCTGGCGGGGGAGGGGCCGTGGGAGGTTGGCTGGCCCTGCCCCTATGGGGGGGTCAATTGGGGGCGGGCTAGCGGGGGGGGGGGGCGCGGGAGGTTGGCCAGCCGACCCCAGCCCCAATTGGAGTGGGTGGGGCCGATTGGGGGCTGGGCCTGCCAACTCAAGGGGCCAAAGGAGGTTGGGGGTGCCGATTGGGATTGGGCCGGTTGGCCATTGCAGTGCACATCATAGCAACTGGTCGTTCCCTCATTCTGGTCGTTTGGTTTTTATATATATAGATACTGTAATAAGAGTTACATGAATGTAGTTTCTTTCTTTTTTTAAAATATATTTTATTGAGTTTTTTACAGAGAGAAAGGGAGAAGGATAAAGAGTTAGAAACATCGATGAGAGAGAAACATCGATCAGCTGCCTCCTGCACACCTCCTACTGGGAATGTGCCCACAACCCAGGTACATGCCCTTGACCGGAATCAAACCGGGGCCCGTTCAGTCCGCAGGCCGACGCTCTATCCACTGAGCCAAATGGGTTAGGGCTGAATGTAGTTTCTTTCTCTCTCAAAATATCTTGCTGTACTGTCCTCGCCCTTCTTCTTTGACGATGTGAGATGACACAATGCCTGTGTGATGAGATGAGGGAGGTAAGGTCCTCAGAACGGGTTGCAATTTAAAACTTATGGATTGTTTATTTCTGGATTTTTCCATTTAATATTTTTGGACTGCAGCTGACCACAGGTAACTGAAACCACAGAAAGTGAAATGATGAATAAGGGGTCTGCTGTACTGGCAAATAAACCCATAGCTGTGACACCATGCTCAAAGTGCTACAAGTAGAGGAAGAGGGTGTTACATATTCAGAAGAGGGGCCCCTGGGTTCCTTGAGGCTCAGAGAGCTTTCCTGGAGAAGTGTGCCTTGGCATTGAAGGGTGAGGAGGAGTTCTCTAAGGAACAAGGAGAGAAAGGTATTCTCAGACAAGGGAATGGCTTGGGTGCCCAGTCCTTTGGGGGTAGCTGCAGCACAGTGTAATATGGAGAGGAAGGTGAGGCTTGGAAGATTAAGTGGGGGGAGGGGGACAAATGTTGAATGGCTTTATAAGCACACTACATTATTTAGGTTTTATCTGGAGATCAAACGAGACCGTTGGAAGGATTTTAAGCGGGCGAGTTGATTACAGTTTCACTTTAGGAAGATCACTATGGATGCAGAGTAGAGAACAGTTGGCAGGAGTGGGTAGAACACCGGAGCCAGGCACACCAGTTTGGAGATGATGGCAGTGGACCAGGCCTGAACTAAAGCAGCAACAATGGGGAACAACCAGGAAGAGAAGGTGTCGAGAAGGCAGAATGGATAGGGTTTTGTGATGGACCAGACGACGCTGGTAGAAGTCTGGGAGAAGGTTAGGATGACCCGAGGTTTTGCTTGAGAGAATCAGTGAGTGCTAGGACCTCTAACAGAAACAAGCAATCTGGAAGAAAGAGAGATTCCATTTTCAGAGGCTTCTGATATGGCACGATAGCTCTTACCAGGATGGAGGCTGCACTGGCACCACTAAGCTGAGGTGGTGATGAGTCACCCAGCCAGTTGTGCATTCAACCAACGTGCCCTGCTCCAGGCACTGAGCTGGGCAGCGAGAGGAGAATCGACTGTTGTTGCATCTGTGTTCATTGCCAGTTCTGCTCCTTACCGGCCTTGAGACATTCACAAGCTCATTAACTTCAGAGCTTCCACTGCATCATCTCAAATATGGTGACCCAACCCCAGGTTATTAGGATGATCATTATGACAACATGACAATGATAATGATAAATAATGATTTCAATGAAGAAGCGAAAGCAGTTGGCCTTGTGGCTAATGGGCCATATTGGTTACAGAAGAGTCAAGAAAAAGCCAGGTGAAGAAAACTAATCTTAGAGATGTGACAGACCTGGATAGAAGTGAGGCGGGGACTCTGAAGGTCCATCACCCTCTTCTTCCTACACCACCTGGACTGTCCCTCTTATCCACAGTGCAAAGGGAGGTGACCGTTGTGTGGATAAAGGGAAATAATCTGAAATAGCATGAGGACGTTGGTAAAGTGGAAAACAGTTATCAGTAACACTGTCATTTCGAACAATAATTTTCTTTTAGTCGGTGTTTCCAGTAAGTGCAGATTAATTGAAAATGTGGTACAGTCATGTTTCCTACAGTTCTATGTCCCTTATTAGTAAAACTAAGTGCTTTCCATTTTAGGAATTTCATAGAATTTGCCTCTTGGTATTCTCTAATGATCGGAGGCATCGCAGAAATCGTTGCAGCTGTCTTGTAGATGAAAGAATGAAGATTTTAAGGCTCTAACGGGCTACTGAAACAGTGAACATCACACGCTCGTTGATGATAGCTTAAATCTGCATCTTCTCTCTCCAAGATCAAGGTTTTAAATACTATGTTATGTCATTTATTTAGAAGTATCAAAGATTTTGAAACTGCAAAATATTGTTCAGCAAATCCCTTGTCAGTGTCTCAAAGAACAGGTCTAAGAGGGCATCTCAGAGAATTCCTAGCTCCACCTCCAACTCCAACTCCCTCGATTTCCTAAACCTTGAAACCCTTTCTTCTACCGGTTCTTTTCTCTTAGCCTTCAACATGGTAGGGCCTCTACCTTCCTTGACTCTTTCTCCTCCCCTAGACATGATTCTACCTCTTTCTTTTCTTGGTCAGGGTTTTTGAAAAAAATAACGCACAAAGTGTGGTGCCCACCCCCTCAGCCCCTGTCCTTCCTTCAGCCCATGAGGCTGAGGCTTCTGCCAGGCCTCCTGCACTGACCTCGGGGACTTGGGGACCTCCCTGCAGCAGGACACTGTTGAGTAGCCATCTCTCTCCCTTGGGTCCTGCAGCCCCTCTCTCCAGGCTCCTCTCTCTCTCCTTCCTTCTCTCCCACCTCCGTCCTGGGTTGGCTCCTCTTCCCCTGTGTTCTCCAGGGGCCCCAGCCTTTCTCTCTCCTCACTCTGCGGGTGGGGAAGGTAGATAGATCTCCACCACTTTTGGTTTGCGGCACATGTTGGAACTGGAGAATTTTTGGAGGCAGCGTGATGGGATTAAGCTGTAAGAACTAGCCCCTTCCCACCGCGCTGCTGTTTAGCTAGCAGTGCCTGTTTCCAGGGGCTCACGAAGCCGGTTCGGAACCACCCCCGGAACCTGCAGGAGTCACCCCGGCCTGATGGTAAGTGATGGAATGCCTTGCCTCTCAACTGCTCCCCTTGGCAAGAAGGGGCGGTCCCTTCCCTGTGCAGAGACTTGCACTGGAGGCTCAAGTCTGAATTCTGAGGGGCAGCACCACCCCAGCCCGCTGCGGGCTTCTGGGGTACGGGGTGGGGGGCAGCCTTTACAGAGGGTGGGGCCACTGCCCTACACCGTCACATCCCTCTAAGTCGTATCTTTTTATTGTTGCTGTTGTGATACAATATCCGTATCATAAAATTTACTCTGCTAACTACACTAAAGTGTACAGTTCAGTGGCATTAAGAACTCTGCCAGGGCAAGAGGCGACCTTGTCCTCCGGTCCCACCTCTCAGGACACCGCCCGGAGCATAGGAAGGTACAAAATACTTAGTAAAAACCGGGGAGGGGAGTGTGCCCGCGGCGCTGGGCCTTGAGTCCCCGTCCCGCGCCCCCCCACATTCCCACCCCCACGGCTCAGACTCGGTCCCTGTCCCTCGGAGGCGTGCCCACCGGAGACCCCGCCCCCGCCCACCGGCGACCCCGCCCACCGCGCCCGAGCGTGGCAGGCGTCCCGGCGGCGGCTCCGGGGCAGGAGCCGGCGGAGCAGGTGGGGGCGGCGGCCCCGCCTCCGCGTCCCGGCAGCACCAGAGCCGGCGGCCGGAGGGCGCGCCGGGCGCACCGAGCGCAGCACCGAGAGCAGCGGGCCCAGCAGCGGCGGCGCCTGGAGCTGGGCGCTGCAGAGGGAGCCCGGAGCCCGGAGCCCGGAGCCTGGCGGCGGCGGGGGCAACAGCGGCGGGAACGGCGGCCGGAGCCCGGGTCCTGTCCGGCCCCCGCGGTAGGTGGCGGCCCCGCGCACGTCCGGGTCCGTGACTGAGGGTGGGGCGACCGGCTGTGGCGGCGGCCGCTCGGGCCGTCCCGAAGCGGAGCGACCCCGGGCGGGGACGGGGATGCGGCGCGCGTGCCCGCGTCCGGGGGACCGTCCCCCGGGCCGTCGTCGTCGGGGCGCCGCGCTGCACTGGACCCGCCGCCTCCTGCCCGCTGCCCGCTGCGCGCGACGCGGAGCCTCCCGCCCGGGTAACGGGATCGCGGAGGAAGGAGGTCACCGCGGGGTGGCCCGGTGACTTCGGCGACCCGGAGCTCCAGGGAGCGGCCCCGAGCGCCCCGGCCGCCCGGCCAGGCCCTCTCGGGAGCCCCCTTCCTCTCTTCCCAGTGTCACCCCCAGAACAAAAGGCTGGGGTCTCGCCGAGGCGGGGGCTGCCGCGGGAAGAGCTAGGGAACTGCAGGACTCCGGGTGGCCTTGGGGGTTCAGCAGCAGCCGCCCCAAGAAGGAAGTCGGGCTGCAGATGGGAAGTGACTGGCCCACGGTCACACAGGAGCGCAGGTCTCGGGACTCCCCTCCCAGGAATGGCCACGAATCGGCTTCCAAGTCCTTCGGAGGAGTCGGGGGAGGTGGCAGAGACTCCCCCAGCTCCCGCAATGCACTCCGCAGGCCTGTGGGGGCCGCAGGCCTGGGGGGCGCACTGCGGGTGTCGGGGGGTGCGGGAGCCAGCCCGGACCCCGTGGGCGGGCAGGCACCTGTCGCAGGAGCAGCGCCTTCTGGACGCGGCGCGCCAGCCGCGTGGGGTGCCTGCTGCGGGCACGGGGGCGGCCTGGGGACCGAGTGTGCGCTGCGCCCCAGAGAGAGGTCCTGCGCGGGGAGCGCTGTGCCCGCCCGGCTGGGAGGCCCCGGCCGCATCCTGGGCGCGATGCTTGGAAGGAAAGTTACTCTGTAGCAGGACGCTGAGCTCCCAGCCTTGTTCCAGATCGTTGGCTGCAAAAGGAGGGCCTCGTTCGACGTGACTTGTGTGATTTAGAAAGTCCGTGCCCTCGCCTCCTTGCCAGGATCCTTCGTCTCTTCAGAGGAAGGGTTGGAGGTACATTTCTTGGTCAGCAATAGCGGTTATCCCTGGGACACCAGCCTTCCTGGATTTTTTTTTTCTTTAACTTTAGGCAAAGCTAATCAAGGTGAGGTTAGAAGAGGGGTTGCCTTTAGGCCTGGTGACGACCTAGAGGGGAGCTTCAGGGGTGCTAGGAAAGTGTGCCCCTCCGCCGCTTAGGGGCATGCATATCGAAATGTATGGTTATTCCCTTGAGATTTGTGCACTTAAGTTTTACCTAAATAAAAAAGTAAATAAAATTTTAATGCAGCTTTCCAGTCAATGCATTTTAGAGAGACATTTAAAAACCACAGAATCCAAATCGGGGGAAAATAAAAGGACAGGGGAGCAAAAGGAATTTGGGGAATTACAGGAAAGGAAATATACACTGCAGGGGGCTTTCCCAAACGCCTTAACGGGCATCCCCTCATATCACACATTATTGCTGTGCCTTTTTAAGGATGAGAAAATAAAAGGTCATACGGTGAAATGCCTTACTCAGAGAACCAGAGGTAAGAACCTGGGTCCACAGACTTCATATTCTTTTGTTGTTGTTGTTCGTCCTCACCCGAGGATATTTTTCCATTGATATTTATGGAGAGTATAAGAGAGAGGGAAGGAGAGAGAGATCTATGTGAGAGAAACACATCAATTGGTTGCCTCCTGCAGGAGCCCCCCACCAGGGCCGGAGCAGGGGAGGCGCCTGTAACCAAGTACGTGCCCCTGACCTGAATCAAAACCGAGACCCTTTGGTTCGCAGGCCCACGCTCTCTCCACTGAGCCAAACTGGCTAGGGCCACAGACTTAAATTCTATACATGCAGCCATGAACAGGCTACTTGGGCCACCTGAGTCCGGGCACAGCTGGCTGAGTGACAGCTGAGTGACGGAGACTCGGGGCTGGCTCCCTGCCATGCCCCCCTTTTGTTCCTTTCCAGGAGTCTCCGTTGTTTTCATAGAATTGCAAGTGTGAGATGGTGTCACACAGACCGGAGTTAGGCAGCAGCAGAAGGGATGGAGGCAGTGTGTCTAAGAACATACAGTTTTAGGAGCAGGGGAAAGCCAGCTGGCCCAGCTGGCAACATTCTTCTTAGGAGATGTATTGTTCAGAAACCATATAGTACAGGTTGTGATTTTGCAGTCACACTCACACACACACACACACACACACACACACACAGAGAGAGAGAGAGAGAGGAAGAAGGGGGGGAGAGAATACATAATATAATCTAGAAAAGGTCTGAGAAACCAAAATGTAATTAACTCTAGAAGAGAGCATATAGAGTTTTCACCAGGGTGGATCAGTCAACTTTCTTACAGTCTAGAACAGCGGTTCTCAACCTGTGGGTTGTAACCCCTTTGGGGGTCGAATGACCCTTTCACAGGGGTCGCCTAAGACCATCGGAAAACACATATATAATTACATATTGTTTTTGTGATTAATCACTATGCTTTAATTATGTTCAATTTGTAACAATGAAATTGGGGGTCACCACAACATGAGGAACTGTATTAAAGGGTCGCGGCATTAGGAAGGTTGAGAACCACTGGTCTAGAATTTATAACGATATGTTCATCAACGCTTAAGTTAAAATAAAAAAACACAGAGAACTACAAAAGTGACTTGGCAGAAGGAAGGAAATTTGTTTTCTAGCAAACATGATTATGAATACCCATGAAATTTGGTGCGGAAATATTTGAAACTTTAGGGTTCCGTAACATGATACCTAGAGGGGAATGTAGAGGAATGTGTCCTAATATGTGGTCTTGTGGTGATCTACTTCTGCCTGCAATTCAGAGCCTAGGGAAGTAGGGACGTGTCTGTTTTACCAGCCAGTTTCTCCCTGCAGAGTTGGATGTTTGGAATGATAATGTCTGGTTTGAAGAACCTGGATGAAGTGGGGCAGCTGAAGAGGTCTCTCTGGGTGAATGGGCTCAGCCGAGTGCCATCAGGCGTGATGATGCATCACCAAGTTATCTTTAGGCGAGTTTTGCCTTGTCACAGTAGCATTCCTGCCATCTGGCTGCTGGAATATTTAGCAAGGAACCGTGATGTTTGACTGACTTTGCTGATGGCATGACAAAACAAACTCGGAGAGGGAACTCTTCAGTCTGAGCTAGGGTTGGTGAGGCAATGATTAATTCCTTTTGATTCAGCCACTGCACAAAACCAAAGAGGCGTGGGGTTCCCAGCTGATGCAGAGCAGGTGTCGCACATGTTTTCTCTGTGGCTTCAGCCAGTTTGCAATTCTAGTCGGGTCTTTCCTTAGACCTGTTCAAGCGGGAACGTGACCCCTTATGCAGCCGGGGACTCGTACCGTGCGCTACAGGGTGGACGTGCCAAAGAGATACCGTGAAACGGAGCCGATGTGGCAGAAGCGCCCCATGAGAGTCATGGGGGCCAGGCTCTGGGGAGAAAGGTTTTCAAGTGCATCTTGAAGGAATATTCATTCTGTGTGGGGGCTGTATTCCAGCAAGACGCTGGTTCTGAGAAGGTGGCATCCAGAAATGCGTGCCAGGCCCGTCTGTGGACTGTAAGTCAGCTCCTGGGAGGAGGTAGGAAGAGGCAGGAGCCAGCCTCGGCTCTTGAGCTTCTGAGGACATGAGTGCACGTGTGTGTCTGAGCAAGGTGCCCAGGCTGCCATCCACTGTGCCTTAAGAGGAAAGGCTCACACGTACTGAACCCTTCGTGCGATGGGCCAGGCTAAGAGCTTTATATGTATGAAATCATCAGACAGCCCTAAAAGGGAATTGATTCTTATTCCCATTATCAGTTGTGACGGAGAGTCTAAGGGTCACTCAGGATGATCATGTCACACCCTGTCTGACCTGCCATCAGCCCACTCATAGCCCCCATGTGCCCTTTACCTGCCTGACTTGTCCTAATTGCACCTGAGCTCCTGGAGGGCAGGTTCTGGGTCCACCTCACCTCTGTTCCCAGCACCTGCACCAGGCCTGGCCTTGATGGGGACTGACTGAGTGAGTGAGTGAAGGAAGGAATATCTTTATGATCCAAGATAAAATCCAACTACTTTTTTGTTGTTTGTCCTTTTGACTTTTACTGTCTCATTGCCTTTTATTGATATAGATCATCAGGGATCATTGTATGGACAAGATGTATCATAGATACCTCCTTATAAAAGAAAAATGCTGCCAAAACCGGTTTGGCTCAGTGGATAGGGCGTCGGCCTGCGGACTGAAAGGTCCCAGGTTCGATTCCGGTCAAGGGCATGTACCTGGGTTGCGGGCACATCCCCAGTGGGTAGTGTGCAGGAGGCAGCTGATCGATGTTTCTCTCTCATCGTGTTTCTAACTCTCTATCTCTCTCCCTTCCTCTCTGTAAAAAATCAATAAAATATATTTTTTAAAAAAAAAGAAAAGAAAAATGCTAAGCTTAGCCTATAAAATCAGAAGGCCTCTGCTTCTTTTAGAAATTAAATATTATTATTTCTTCTTTTGTATGACTCACATAATTCAGACTCCCTGGGTTTGAATCTTGCTTCCATCACTTATTTGTTGTATGATTGTGAGCAAATCACTTAACTGCTCTGTGACTCAGTTTTCCCATTTGTAAAATTGGCATCATCATGATAGTACTTATCTCATACTTAGGGCAAGTAAATTAAGATAAATTCAGTACTACGACAGTGCCTCATTCATAGCAATGCTCAATAAGTTAGTGATTACTTTTTATTATTACCTGATACTTTTAAAAATTGCTTGTCTTAAAGTGGTCCATAAAGCATTTGAGAAGCTTATAAAAATAGGTAGTAAACAACACAAAATTCATAGATAAGAGAACACATGGACTAGAAAATGAGATAAAATCAGAGCTATTTTAGAGAACAAGAATATTTCCTAAGGTGTAGGTACTTTCTAGAAATGAGTTTACTGGAAGGTCTAATGTAGTTTCTGGAGAT